TTAGCGAGGTAAACATCTTTTTAGAGAGCGGCAGCACATTCCATCTGTCATCGAGAACAAGGCATCTTGGGTTATTTGCAAGAGAGAGTAAGAATCTTTCATTAAACCGAAATTTCACATCTCCATGGGCTTGGGTACGATACCTAGCATGTACATCCTAGAAAATATAAATATCGCATAGTACCATTGCCATTGTACAGAGTTGTCTAAGTGATGTCATAGATCTTAAAAGAAATAAAATTATGCCACCACCAGAAACAGTCTCAATTGTTCTGGCGAGAGTGTTAGGAGTAAGAGCTTCGAAATCCTGTAGAACTAATAAATCAAATGTTTGGCCTAATATCTTGTCGGTTTCATGATAATAACACCATCGAATATCAGCAGAGCAGATAAATTGCTCCAAAATTGTTGCATCGACTGATAAACCCATTTTTCTCTTCTTGCTAATTGGAGCTGTACAAAAATTAAACTCACTTTAAAATTTGTAGATTCTTTTTACGATGACTAAAGAATAGTTAAAAGAATATAATCTTACGTGTTAAAAGAAAGTGCTTTTTTATAGCACCATAATATTCTGAGCCGACCCTTAGTCATGAGGGAATTCAGCATTTGATGCAGAATAGGAGCCTTAAATTAAAAAAGTGTAGATTGAAAGTACTTGGTCTTGTCCTTTATTGCCAATCATGATAAACATTGTGCGAAATTTATCTTTGATACCCTTCTTTATCAGCAAATGAATTCTATCATCGAGCCTTTGCAGCCTACCCATTGCGACGGCGTGGGAACTGACTTGGATGAGCCGCAAAGATGACTAAAAAAAAGAGCTCTTATAATTAGTTATTAATTAATTCATACAGACAATTATTATATGGTGATAAAAATACTCCTGATTTATTCTTATACAGTGCGCTCCCATTCTAAATCTATGATCCGCTCTCACCGGGACGTCCTCCGCGTCCGTAGGGTGGACTTAGTGAAAAATCTACAGTGCTTTGCAGAAATGCTCGACCACTTGGAATCTGTGAAGGTTATTTTTGAGAATCAAAGGCATCTTATTTTGTCCGAGAAAACTATATTTGACACTGCTCGGGCATTTCTTGATACGCTCCAGAGATGTGGACCCGAAGCCTACCCTGAATTCAAAAACGCTCTTTCATTGACAAATCAGCATTCTATTCTAGAATCGTTGAGGAACTGTGAGGAAAAATTATTATGTGAATCGCCCGTACCCCAGGACTCCACCGTCTTATTATCTAGTTCCATGAGTCCACCAGGCACTTCTGTTGTAAATAGTCCAGACATAAACCCACGGCATGCCTTGCAACCATACCAAGTGACTTCTTCTCCTCGTGGTTTTGTGTTAATTATAAATATTGAAAAATTTAGCAGGTCATGCGGTTTGAGGAATCGAGACGGCTCTCAGAAAGACGTTGATGCTCTCTGTGAAGTATTTACAAGCTTCGGATATTCTATCATTGTGGAAAAAAATCTTACGCATGATCAAATCCTTCAAACAGTGAAACTATATGCTGAAAGGCCAGAACATGGCCGCGTTGATGCCGGCGGTCTTGTCATCATGACTCATGGATTAATGCATCACCTATTTGGATCAGACGGTCAACTTGTAAAACTAGATGACATTGTTAACTTTTTTACGAATAAATCCTGCCCCCTGTTAGCTAGAAAACCTAAGTTTATTATACTTCAGGCCTGTCGTGGAGACGAACGTGATAGAGGCGTTCTTGTCCCCGAAGGAGCGCAAGTGATGTCAAAGCCAGATGACCACATTGACGGGCCG